GATTGTTCAGTGGCATGCGGCTCTGTTCACGCTTCCACCTTCCCGTTGCCTCTTTTCAAAGTGGGGGCTATTGTGAAGCTGGTGATGATGATGCAATTCTGCCTTTTCATTTCTTGGCAACACACAAAGGCCAATCACCATATATACAAGAGCCAGGGTATGCCTTCTTTCACCGTGTTTGCTCAAGCGTGGGCCGAGAATAATAGCTGGAAAGGGGGCTGAGGTCTCAATTTTCCGCTCTATCCGCTTCCCGGCGCGAAGGGTTTAAACAACAGTGAGGGCGCACATGCTGACTGAATAAGTCACTACTTTTTTCAACCTGAAAGAATAGTCTGCCATTCAACAACATGTTTAAAGTGATCTTCCTACTCAAAAGGGAGAACTCCACAGGCAACTCTGACAGATTTAAATAGGGCACCAGAAAATACGGAGAGTCATTTCACTTTTGTTAACCGCTGTACTGTGGGACTCCAACGGATGGAATTCACTTTGCAAGAAATACAGTTCATCATCACAGCCGGACCTTATCAATACTGTGAGCTTCGCAAAAGACATAGTTCTGAGAGGTATGAATGAGCATTTGAATTGGTGCTGTTCAAAGCACATTTTACTACGATGTTTAAAAATGCATAAACAAACATACAAGTATTCAGCACTGCTGCTGCTCAAGGCACTGTTATAATCTTCATTACAAGTTTCTCTGAGCCTACATGTACTTTCAAAGAAATCTTGCAGATTTTGCATGAAGAAAGTGTGCATGAACTGTTAATCTTTTTTCTCTCTCTCTGCAAAGAGCTAAGCGAGCTGAAATTTCAACCGACAAGTATATCCCGAGTTATTTCTTGAGGCACCTTGATCCTGTAATCGGAAAAACAGGTTTTAGATAATGTTACACGGCAAAAATACTGCTGTAATAGCCAGGGATGAGATTCTCAGAAAATGAAAAAGCTGAAAGTTGCGAGCGCGCAGCGCGAAGCCCTTTACGGCACGCAAGCCCCAGGAAAATCAGCCAAAAAGCGAAAAAAATCTCATCCCTGAATAGTGCAGTCAAAAGCTGTATGATTTTGCCTTACCTACGATAACATGTGGTTTCTTAGCCAATTGTAGAGCTTGCGTCATCATGTCAATGCCTCCAATAACAACAGCTGGAATCAATCCAAATGAGAAAACCTTAGCAATAGGTCCAATCATCATATTCTCCATTACCTTCTCCTTTACTTCAGATTATTTCTGAAATAAAATGTATTTCAGACAGAGGGTTTGGTGTAAAAGCACATGTTCAGATTTTGCTTTGCTTCCATATTCGGTTTAAGTAATACAAGACGGTTTACATTGTATGTTCCAACAAATGCCAGACTATTACTTTCATCCTAAAAGAGACCCAAATATTTTAGAAGTCTGGAAACAAGTAACTAATAGAGTGAAGAGGCCACAGTCAATAAGATCCTCTTTGACATAGACTTCATGTGTCTTCAGACCTTCTATTTACGAACCTAACCTCCACCAACTCCAACCCTACAGAAGTGTCAAGTCATTTTGAACAAAACTGTTGTGAAAAAAACTTAGTTACTTGGACACCTATTTCATCACTTCATGTGGACACCTTGCTTTCACAATGTTGACTAAACTCCTACTTTGCTGTGCTCTGTAGGTTTTGGCAGACAATAAACACATCCACATTCCTCACAGATTATGGCTAGGAACCGAAATCTTTCAGGCCAACCCAGTGGTGCATGTAGGATTCTTTGTCAATGTTTGTGCATCAAAGTCTACCCAAAGTTATACTGGCATGTAGGTCAGCATGTGGTTTTGGTCCTTTAGGATTGCGAGCGCCAGTGCCATCACCACTTTGCACTGAGTACAACAAATAGACAACAAAAAATAACCATGTCCTACCGCAAGTGACGCCTATAGTTGATCCCAGTGCTTCAAACTGCTCGGATATCTGGAAGGCCAATTCCCTCGTTGGTGTGAGCACGAGGGCAAAGAGCCTCTGCGGTCGCTCCAACAAAGCCTGAAGAATGGGGATGGCAAACGCTCCGGTCTTACCGGAGCCCGTCTCTGCCAAACCGATAACATCACGTCCTGTAACTCCCAATGAGAGATCACATCAGGTAACAAAAATCTCGCTAGGATCAGAATAACACAGTCCACAAAATTCGTTCTGAAAAAAAAATTCACACATACCAACAAATAAACTCACAAGAGTAGTACCGAAGGAATCCACAAGCCAAGGCAAACGCTGCCTTCCTGCTCTTTACTGGGACAAGAGATGGTGTACTTGTACCCAGCACTAGAGTCTCTTTGGTGTGCACATATATTTATGCACACTTGGTGCTGGGCGCCCGGAACACACACGACCAATGTTTCTTGGAACGCACTATTTCCGCAAGTGACTTTTCAAAATGTTATTCTGTTTTATGCCCGCGGATATCAACACCAGTGTGAAAGTCCTCCAGTACGTGTCTTGCTACGAATTGCTACTTTTTGGAAGATTTGTATCAGGCCTACGTGTGGTTGCTGACATTTTTAAGTTTTACTGTCAAGAAACACAGAGAGAAGGATGATCCTATTTTGTTTCATCCTCCGGAATTTATTGGCATACCCCCCCCCGAGACGCTCCCTTTCAAGGAAGAATTCTGACAAACCTTGCAGACTGTGTGGAAGAGATTCCCGCTGGATCTTGGTAGGCGTCTTCCACTTCAGACGCTCGCACGCTTCACACAAGACATCCATGACACCCTGGAAAGCAATCCGATACACTGCCATAGCAATTTTGTCTCAAAATTCAGAAGTAGGGCAAAACTGACAAATGACTGATCCAACACATGCAGACTTTGTAAATACACAAAGTATACAGAGTGATTAGCATACAAACATCGTGAACCTGGTTAGCAAAATGGTCCGATTTATCAGAAAACTGGGCACCACACTGTAAAAAAACCGGAGTGGCTATACACGTACATGTAGTTACAGAAACTATAACGAAACCTTAAGAATTCAAGTACATTTATAAACATGATAAATGCTGTATGTGGCTCTGGTTTATTTAACACATATCAAAAAGCTAAATGTCACTTCTAGGTCCTGGAAATTTAAGTAAGATAGAAATCTGAAATGAATGTATTCCTGTTTTGTGGGACCACAGGGCTAGCTTGACCTCCCACAGCTTAATGAAGATTGAACTTCAGTCGCTTACATGTACATGGCATCCTCGAGTGGTTAAGACGTCTGCACTAGTAAGCAGGAGGTCGTGGGT